GCTGGGAGGCAGTGTCTGTTCTGGCAGTTGGTAGGAGCTGGCAGAGCTACTGTTGCATGTCTTAGCCTTCTCTCCCCTCATATTACATCACACCACCAGCTCAGAAACCTGTGAGCTACATTCTGTTACTTCACTATTGTGTTGATACCATTTTTGTGTTATTTAATGGGCATATCTAGGACCAGTTCTCAAGAGAATAAAAGGAGAAAACGAGAGATCTGTGCTAGTGTTGTTTTTTTCTGGATGAAAGGGAACAGCAGGAGACTCCAGGCAGTGTGGTTCTGTGTGGGTGATTGTTCTGTGTCTGCAAGATGTTTTTGAATTTGTAAATGAGTTATTTTCTTTTAAAGCTCTGTTATTAAAGTAATTTTCCTTGGTATTAATTTTGGGACCGTCACCCCTTTAAAGTTCAGTTTTCTGAGTCCTCAGGTTTGTCAGCATCCAGGCTGTGAAAGTCAAAAAGGAACTCTGAACTCAGAGCATACGGCAGCAGGTGAATATCCTGGTCTTTCCTGTGAGCGTCTATGTCAGGCCACGCCAGTTGCGTCTGTGTTTGTGCGTTTGTGGGTGTTGATCGCTGCGATTCCTGTTGACCTCTCTGCTGTCTGCTGGCTGCCCGCAGGACACAACCAGAGTCAGGCTGACAAGAGCAAGAGCGCCCCCCCCTGGCAGCCCTCAGCAATGGCGCCGTTCAGAGGCACGATTCCTGCTGGTCCAGCGAGGCTCCGGGCTCTCCTGCTGTTGGCCGGCCTGCTTGCTGCTTCCTCCTCCGCCCCACCTCCCCAGCAGAGCGGGCCCTCCCCAGCACCGCTCCACCCGGGTCCCTCCAGTCCGGACCCCGGCCGGGACCAGCGAGGGCCGCCCTCCTCTCCTGCGATGGGCCGGACGCAGGCCCTCTCTCTGGGCCTGGCTTCCACAGCCTCGCCCGGGGGTGCCCACACAGCGACACCTGAGCACCCCGGGACAGGAAGTGGTCGCACACGTGCCACAGAGTCGGAAGGGAGGCAGAACGCACTTCCTGCTGCCAGCTTGTCTGCGCGGTCGGTGGACGGGCCTGCCGCCCCGGCAGGGCGGGGTCTGGGCCTGAACCAGCCGGCAACCTCCTCTACCCCTCCATCCACCCAGTATTCCTCCCAGGGGGTCCCTCAGAAGCAGACCCGGAAGAGCCCCAGCACCACAGTGCTGGTGAGGCAGGAGGTGGCAGGTGGGAACAGGGAGACTCCAGTGAAAACAGACCAAGAGCCCCATTCCACACCAACCCACAATCCCCTCCTTACTGCGGTGTCACCACAGGGATTCCAGACTTCTGGGCCACAGTGGACCCCAGCCGTCTCTTCCCTCCCCCTCATCCGAGAACCCCCTCACCTCACTCATACTTCTGCCCCTGCAGCCCCAACCCTCCCTGCACCCCAGAATCCCACAGACAGTCACACCGCACCAAGGCAGCCCCTCGTGTCTGCGGTACCTGGGAAGGAGACTCACCCCTCCAACGTGACCCCGATGGCGTCCAGCACCCCACAACCGGGACGTGGAGACACAACTATACGTTCAGAGGAGACAGAGCTGACCTCCAGCCAGGGCACCCCAATGCAGCACAGCCCCTGCACCAATCACCATACAGCCTCCCCCCGTGGCCACGCCCCCTCCAGTGACATCACAATGGTTACCGCTCTAGGGGTGGGGCTGCCAGCAGGGGGAGGGCTTATTACACCAGGCAAAGCCACTGAAGAGCCTATCACGACCGTGGGCGTTATAACTGAGGGAGCTGATTGGCTGACTGGGGCAGAGTCCTCCTCTCTATCTACAGCTGGGCGTGAGGAAGACAGATGGGGGGTTGATGGGAGTACTGCTGTTGCCCCAACGATGCACAGTGATGGTCTGGCTTACTTCCAACCTCAGGCCCAGACCAGGAGTGTTAAAAATCCCCCTGGTGTTACCACTGCAACCAAGGAGCCTTCCACCTCTGCTGACCACCTTCTGGGGACAGGCAGCTCGGGGACATTAGCACAGAGTCAGCCTACTGCCCCCTTCAGCACCACGCAAGTACTGCAACCTCAGACGCCTACACAGCCTTCGGCCAATCCCGGGCTGTCCTCACGGTCAGGGGACAAGATGGTGACCCCTGCACCACGGACCCCAGTCTCCACCACCCCCCCAGCGAGGAAAACGAAACCACCCCGTGCCACTGTAGCAGGTGAGGCTCACAACCCAGAATCTTTCCTTCTGCAGGGTGGAATTTAGCTTATTTTCTTGACCTTCATTTTGTTGTTTTTTCCTTTCTTCTGAATGACCTCTCAGTTGTTGTCTTCTGTCTTCCATCTACTGGTGAACGTGTCCCTGGTGTTGTTGGTAGCAGTCACCAGTAGTGTGTAGCATGTGTTGCTGTATTGCTGTGTTGCTATGTTGCTGCGTGACAGGTGTAACATGTTCTCCTGTCTCATGTTTTAGGTGTTACAGAGCTACGGGTCACACCAGGCCTTGAGGACACAGGAAGCAGCGTCTCTGTGACATCATCATCATCCCTCCCTGCTGTGGGTGGGGCAGAGCCAACCACAGCCAGTCAGCAGCCAAAGACAGGTGAGAAACAGGAAGTGTGGGCAGACTGGGAATCGTAGTCCTTGTTCTACCACTAGCATGGTAAGGTTTTGCTGGAAGGGAAAAAGAAAGATATGAAGGAAAAAGAGATCTGTCTGCCAGCAGGCGGTAGCTGTGGGCCGTGGGGGGTCCATTGCTCTGTCCGTTAGAGGTGAGGTTCAAGCGCCTCAGGGCTTCAGCTGAGCTTGAGAGTGTCTGAGTCCGCAGATGCCGTAGCAGGGGTCTGTGTTGTGTCGCAGTGAACAGTGGTTGTGTGCTGATATTGTGTCACAGTGTACGGTTGTTGTCTGCTGTTGTTGAGTCACGGTGAACAGTGGTTGTGTGCTGTTGTTGTGTCACAGGGTACGGTGGTTGTCTTTAGGAGGCTCCTTGTTGGTGTGTTGTGTTTTGGTTGCTGCTGTGTGGTCTGAGTAAAATACCATGACGACAACCATGCTTATCACAGTCAGAGATCTTCGGGGCCGTCGGAACATGCTCACAGAGGGGGTTTCTCTTTTAATTTGCTGTCTCTGATTCACGTTCAAAGAGGCATAAAAAATCCACACTGAAAAGTTCAATCTCAGATTACTTTCAGTTTCAGAGATGCTTTTCTGAGCGTGCGTCTGCGGTTCGAGCGCGGAGGGGAGAGAGCGCAGGCCGGAGTACGAGGGGCCGGGGCTGGGCCGCTGGAGTGCGGAGGTGTGAGCTGACAGGAGAGGGAGCCGAGATCTGGGAGCACAGCAGTGTAACATGCACCAGATGGACAGAGAGAGGGGGCAGGGGGAGGGGCAGATGAGTAATGCTGGGTTAATGTGCTGTAATGTAACTGACAATACACTGCAGCAGTTACTACAAGACCTATCGGGCTGTAGCAGTTACTGCAGGAGCTATTGAGCTGCAGCAGTTACTCCAGCAGTTATAGTTACTGCAGCAGTGAGTCCAGTGAAGATTG